AAAAATGCTTTGATAAAATGCATAGTCTGTGAAATAATCCGTAATCGGTTCGTTACTGATCAATAATTACTGAAAGACGCAGGTAAAGTAAGAAAAGTGGATTTATGTGTTATGTTGCTCCAGCAGCCTCAAACTGAGTGACAGGATGAACTGTTTGGAACTATTGGAGCTGCATGAACCACGTGACGCGTACCAGTGAGTTCAGAGTCGCAGCTCTCTCTACAGGGCTCTGAGGGAGTATCAGAGAAACTGAGACGTTTATTAATAAACAACGTCCCAGTGGCTTTTAAACCCCAAAATACATTAAAGACTGGTTCATCCCAAAGATCCAGTCCCCCGGCACAAACAGAGTAATGTTGTGTATGTTGTTCAGTGTCAGGAGGGTGATCAGTCTTACATCGGGGAAACTAAACAGCCACTGGCCAAAAGGATGGACCAGCACAGAAGATCAACATCATCAGGCCAGGACTCTGCGGTCTACACTCATCTCCAGGTCAGAGGTCACTCTTTCAGGGATGAAGATGTTCACATCCTGGACAGAGAGGAACGATGGTTTGAGAGAGGAGTAAAGGAGGCCATCTTTGTGAAAAGAAACCGTCCATCATTAAACAGGGGTGGAGCCTCCAGGTTCAACTGTCCCCCTCTTACAATGCTGTGATTGCTAGTATCACTCAGCCCTCTATCAGGTGCTAATGATCCATTGTTAGGCTGATGGTCCTTCTTGAGCATGTGATCAGCTGGTTCTGGTTGTCAGCAGCAAACTGGTTGATCCACTCTGAGAAGGTGCTATTTAAGAGACTGAGCTGAATACAGCACCTCAGACTGAGGAAGTCCTCAGGATGAGAGACGAAACGTTTCTACATTTGTTGTTGTTTTGTTTTGTTTGTTTTTTTGAATGTCCAGAGACAGATTTAACTTTTTTATTCCTCAGAGTGACACATCTTAAATCGTTTGTGATCTAAGACAGCAGCCTGACGCATGCGCAGTGTGACAGCAGATTTTAGCGGCTCATCTTTACACAGAGACGATCTTTGCAGCCACCATCAACTGTCAGCTGCTGTTGAAGCCTCTTCCGAACCTTTTAGGTCGGGTCCGCCTGGTTCTGTTTTATCTGCCGGACCCGAGGCTCATTGGACCGGCTTCACACCCACCCCGGTCCCGGATCTGGGCTCACTACCCGGATGTGGGGTCCACGCGTGGCCACGGGATGCGGACGACCCTGAAGAACGGCCAGCATCAGCATCAACAGGTAAACCCGACCGAACCGGAACCCGTGCGTTCCTCTACCAAACCTCAGTCCGCTCGAACTGGGCGTCTGAGCCGGTTCGGTTCTGTTGTCTGGGCTGGTTTTACTGGTTTCACCTTAAATTAACCCGTTAATTTCATTAAAGGAACAGTTCAGCTATTTTCAATAACACTTATCAATTTACTGATCGATCCCGATCTCTTCAGATACTGAACTTCTGCGGTTCGGTTCTTCGTTCTGTAGAGACTTCCAGTTAGACACGATGGTTCCAGTTGGTTCCAGACAGTCCAGAATAGTTCCAGAGGTTTGGGACCAAACAATCGTCTGGTTTTCCCGGAAAAATGTACAAGTTTTAAACCATTAAACCAGTTTCTTCTCATGGGATTGACTGCAACTGAAACAAACATCGGATTTTTACGTTTATGGCACTTTATTCTGAAGGAGCAGCTTTTATTGTGAAATGAAACTGAACCTTTTTAAGAGAGAAACATACTAAAACCCTACAAACTAATCTGAAGCTCAAGAATCAGTTCCTGTAGAAAACCCTGAGTTCCTTGGTGTCCCCGAACGCCTCATTTGTTGTTGTTGTTGTTGTTGTTGTTGTTCGTATGTTGTTGTTCTTATGTCGTTGTTATTGTTGTTGTTCTTATGTCGTTGTTGTTGTTGTTGTTCTTATGTTGTTGTTCTTATGTCGTTGTTGTTGTTGTTGTTCTTATGTCGTTGTTGTTGTTCTTATGTCGTCGTCGTTGTTGTTGTTGTTGTTGTTGTTGTTGTTGTTGTTGTTGTTGTTGT